GATTTCAAGTTTTTATTGATATGATTTATTTCCTATAGTATTCTAATGTGCTCGCTTTTGTGTTCTGTACTGAGAAGTGGAGAATGTCCTTTTATCTGCCTAATTTAGAAATTCCCTCCAATTGTTAACTTGGTAGCTATGGGTAAATACATCCACGTCTTAGTTAGAGGAACCCCCTACATGAAAACTGTTGGAGGTCCTTCCACTCTGTGTGGTTGGATTAGAAGGCAGTTCTAATTGGTTTATTTTTAAGTTGCTGCATGTGGGAACTGTTTGCACGTATATCTGTTTCTTTAAATTATATACTTATTGGTGAAAATGAGACACTTAACCACCATTAGCAGTCAATTGCATACACTAATATAATAGCGTGTTTTAATCTTGTTTTAAAAGCACCTGTATAGACTTTAATGTTCAGGGATTTTTTTTTTTTTACATTAAACATAAAAGGGTTAGTTCAGTTAAGTGTAGCTATTTTAGACCTATTTTGCAGCTTTTCATCCTGTATCTTGCGTGCCACAAGCTTTTATGGCCTAAAGATACTTGGTTGGATTCTGAATGGCCATCATGAAAGATTCTGTAGTATGTAGAACACCCATAACAGTAACTTTGTGCATTGTAATGGGAGGCTGATTTTTTTTTGTCTGGATCAGGGCTACCCACAAACAACCAAAAAAAACAAGTATATTGTTCAGTTTTTGCAATTCTCTAAAACACTAGATCTAGAACAAAAAATTAGTACTTCATATCAGATGCTTGTGGTGTTATGTATTTGGGTAAACAGGATTTGCTTCTTGGAAGTCTTTCCTTTTTTTTTTCCCCCTTATATTACAAGTGATGCACAAAGTTAGGACTTGGAGCTATAATGTACAGCAGTCCTAAGAATACATATATAATGGCATTCAAAATGAGGTTTTGTACACTTTATTCCTAAAACAAATACTCTTGTATTACATTACAGGGTACATTGCTCCTTGGAGTGGAAGGTTTTATTCCCTTTGGGACACAGGGTAAGTTCTGTTAGTATAGCTTGTCAAATTTATTTTGCTCATTTCAGAATTTATGCACAAATTCGTTATTTGAAAAGTAAAAAAAAAAATACAAAAGCTTGGTATTGCCGTAAAACCGGAGATATTTGAGAAGATTAATCAGTTAGTTTAAATATTGGTTTTCCAAAACTTAAAGTATTAAGTTAATCCCAGTGATAATTTCATGTTTGTACTTAAGAGTGTTGTGTGTTTTAGCAATTGCAGAACGCATATTAACACATTTTTGTCTTTGGATGCCGCTATGGTTTTTGCTCTTTCAGGATTATATATTATGGTCATTCAGGGTTCCTAGAAAAAAAAATGCTTTTTAGTGCTTCCTTATTAAATTTGGCAGACTTAATTTGGGTGGAATTTAAAGAGGCCACCTACCTTTTAAAACTTGACGTTTTTGTGTGTTTGCTGCCATCCTATCTCTCTGGGACCCCAGTGGTAAATTCTGAAATACTGAGCCTTAAAACTGAACTCCAGCCAAATCTGTTTCGTAGTTATATTAAATATGAATTCTGATGTAATCAATCTGCTTTCTTCCTCCATAGCAGGAGTCCTGCTAGAAAGTTGAACTTTAAGTGCTTCTTTGAATTAATTTCCAATTATAAAGACCAGTTGCAAGTGCCTTTGTTTGGTGAGCAGGGTGACCAGTATGGTAATCACCAAAGTGCAGTCCAGCAAAGGTGTCACTAGTATGATTACATCCGTGCTGCCTGAAGTGGGTGGACCTGATCTCTGATTTTGTAGCCTTTCCCCACCCAGACTGGTCCCCTTAATTTAATGGCTATCACATGGTAATGAACAGGCAGAAAGAGCTGTGCACTGCTCCTCACAGTCCATGATAGCATGAGAGCTGAACTGAAGTGGGAACAGAAAGGTTGATATTACTGCAACTAGATGCATGGCTTTTAAAAAAAAAAAAAAGGGGAAGAGGGTTGTGTGTGGGTGTAAACCAATTTCCTACTTTATACTTTGATGAGAAATAAAAATTTACAATTTGCCTGTAAAGGAGATTCTCTTCCCAAGTCCCGCCCAAAAATGTCCCAGATATGATTCGAGAGGTGGAATCTTAGAAAATGAAGTGTCTCAAGGGCACCCACATTACCAAGAATGGTAAGCCTAGAGAAATTCCTCCCACAGCAAGGCTGTGATGTCACTGCTACTTTACCAAGGCAAAATCTTTTTCACCCACATTTAGAGGTCAGAAAGTGCATTCATTAGTTCTGTAAAATATTAGGAAAACAACTACTTGAAAATAGTTGTGCTTGGAGTTCAGCTTTAAAATATCTGTAAACCCTAACAATGTACTTATCCTATTTTGGTCTGTTAAATACACCATTAATACTAATTTGTTATGTTTGGTTCAATAGGTGCACAAACATACCTGCTGATCCTACCCGAAATATTTTCCTGCGTTGTAATACATTAAGGCCACTGGTTGGAGTCGAGGAGCATAGAACATAAATACTTATTTCTTATGCTCATCAGCTCCATCTAGTGGCCATAACGCATTATTTCAACACACTACATTTTAACTGGGGGGAAAAAATATATTATGAACATTTGTTTTTGTCATTGTTCGCCAAAAACGAACATTCACAGATGTGCGAAGGGCCCTGCAAATTGTTTAAAAGTAGGCCCCTATGTGTGCATAGCACAAGTAGTTCAAACACTTTTTTTTTTACATTCACTTTTTTTGTGGTTCAATAAGTGTTTTAGGAATTGCTCTATTAAAACAAAACCGTTTTTATGTCAGTCTACGGTGATCTCATAACTACAAGGTCCCAATGAAGTGATGCAAAAGCAGCTGCATAGAAAGTTTCTTTTCATTGGCTTTGGATTGCTTCCACCTTGATCATACTTCCAGACCGTTGGCAGGTGATACTGAAGTTTTTGTAAGGGTGCTGTGCAGGTGTAAGCGATCAATATCTCCACTGTCTCTGACACATGGACCATAAAAATGGCTTTCAAAGGGGGGCTTTTCTCATTTTACTGATAACCTCTTTTATACATGAAGAAACCAGTGATTAATCTCCTGAGAAGACCGAGGTAGTACATGACATTAGAAGACCTGTACCACCTTGAGCAGCATCAATGATCAGATTACTGTGTTTCTTTTTCTGTAAAAGAGAGGCCAGTAATGTGTTTAGTCTTCTTTCACTGGTCTACATGCATTACATATAATTGTTTGTACATAACCGCAGCTGAGCTCTCCGGAAAGGAAAATCCAGCCAACTCAACAGCCGGGGAGGATCAGGCATCTGGGCAGAAAACTGACCTGTAAAATTGCAAGGCACATCCCTTGTTAGAAGCAATTGCTATCAAAGCACTTGGCAAGTGTTTTCTGAAATGTTTTGGCATGGAATAGCAACAAAGCTGTCTTTATACCTAAGATCCTTTATGAAAATTGCCATCGGTTTAACACTTTAGTCTGCAACTAAAAGGTCATAATTTAACATCAGGTTCACTGACTTGATCCGTCGGCTCTGAAAAGCGGCTATCTCGCAAAGTAATCCAAACAACAAATTGACAGTTAAATTGTCACTGTTTTGATATATAATTGCACTATACTTGTGCTGCCATCACACTTTCAATCTTGGAGGGTTTTTTCTTTGGAATGGGGAGAAACTTTGAGCAATTTCAGTGTTTTATTATAGTTTGCTTTGCTATATTTCCAAGCATCATGTCCATTTTTAGTTTATACAATGGATTCTGTTTGGGTTTGCATTTTTTTTTTTTTTTTACACCTCAACAACCTTTTGCATATCGTATTCAATACAATCAGTCAGCCAATCAAATTAATCTTGTTAAAAAGAAAAAGATGAATCTAGTCAGTAGGGGCACATACCCTACTTCATGTAGATTGTCCCAAAATATCTCTCATACTTGTGCATGAGAGGTTACACTCCCCTTTTAAAGACCTCTACAAAGTTTCTGTGGGTAGACATTAAAGGAGTATTATATGGCGAGCGATTTTCACTGAGCCTCATAATCTGAGCCGACCTCTGACAATGAAACTGTCACAGATCGGCTCAGTAGATTGGGAAGTGAGCGAACACATACCGACGCTCGCTCACTTCTCGATCTATCCCTGCAGAGAGCTGTGACTGTCACTCACTGCTCCCTGCAGGGATTCCCCCCACTGTCCGATCCTCCAGCACTGACTGGCAAAACAGATGAGGGAGGGGACGGGCACAGCTGGCTCTTCCTCTGGATAGGCAGAGCCAGCTGTCAATCCCGCAGCTGGGTGGATCCAGACAGTATTGTCGGGATTCATCCTGGCTGCGGCGTCTCGGTATACCGAGCTTTGGGTGACGGGAGGACGTTAGTTTGTATTCTACCGTAACCCTTAAAAGAACTATGGTGAAAAGCCCTGATCCCTTAATATAATAATAATTCTCCTTTAAGGAAGTAAGAGTAATGTGTTAATTATACTTCCATGGCGTACTTGGCATGATATGGGGAGTAAAAATGCTCTGTTCTCTATCTTTATACTCGCTGTTTAACGCATTTGCACTCAATTGATTTTCAGTTTTTAAAAAATACGATCCCTTTTGTAGTAAATGTTTTTGTGTTTTCCTCTCATTTCTACCAGGTACGCAAAAATTCACATCCCTATTATTGCTTCAGTCTCGGAACACCAGCCGACAACGTGGGTTTCTTTCTTCTTTGACCTTCACATATTAGTTTGTACGTTTCCAGCAGGGCTGTGGTTCTGCATAAAAAATATCAATGATGAGCGAGTATTTGGTAAGGACTGTCGGCAACTAAATTTAATCTGCATGCTATGAGTGTTGGCTTTTTTTTCTTTTATAGTTTTCCTTCTGCATTTGTGCTGTAATTGTGTTATGAAAGGCAAAATAATTAACAGTTCCGCTTTATTCTTGTTATGCTTTGCCACTTGGACTCGAATAATAGCTCATAATTCAGTAAGGAAAATCACCATTCCCCAAAATTATGGTGCTGCACACCACTTCCAATTGGTAAAATTAGCATTTTTGTCTAGCACAAGCACACACACTCCCCTACTGGGGCTTAATCAAAGAGCACGAGGTGTGTGTTATTACACTGTCTGTGTTCATTATAATTTGGTGCTTAAAGATGTACTACCCTCTCACTGATCGAATTACAAAAACTTTGCATTGTCCATGATGAAATAAAAATTAGTAAACTAAACATGAGATTATAGTCCATCATAGAAGTGAGCCTGAAGCGGTGGCTACTTTACAACAAACAGGGATCATGGGGAACGAATGTAGCCACCCTCTAGAAGGAAGGACAGTGTCAGCACCAATTCAGAGATGATTTTGAAGATCTACAGCTGAGTGATACACAAATAAGGTAAAATTAAAAATACCCTCCCAATCCTCTCAGAATGGCCATTGTCCTCTGCCGGAGTTGGTGTGTGGTCCATACACTGTACTGCAGCCCTGCATGGAACATTTCAGATAATGCTTGCAAATGACGAGCACTCTATGGCCAGTGCATCTCATTGGTCAGCATGGTATTTTTAATTTTCTCCCGTTTTGTAAAAAGTGGAATTACCCTTTAAATATTTCCTAATTTATGAACCGGCACAATGACTTGAGAAAGCAGCTGGGACCTTGTTCAGGTTAAATTCCTAAACCAATAAGGATCGGAAGGATGGGCAAGAGGGACGCATTCGACCTAAAGACTGGTTTGAAATGCCCGCACTGTAGAACGCTCTTTAACAAAAAAATATTGTAGAGTTTCAAAAACGCCTTTTGGCATCCATTATTAGTTTAGGTGCAAAAACAATGCTTTGTGGAGTTTTGTTAGCCTTTTCAGTTTCGAAGGCTTTCCCTGTCCTTGACCAGACACTGCTTTTTGTGAATGCTTTAAAAACAAAAAAATCTGAAGCCATTTGGCTGGTCTCCATAAATGTATGCTTTTGCATGCAGTGCACAATATTGTACCACACTTTTGATTGGCTATATGAGCCTTGGAAATGCCTACATGTAGGCAGTCCTATTGTATACTTGGTATTGGCTTCATGCTTTGTGGCAATGCACATACCAACACCTTCACACACTTGTTTCTGGAGGCTTGCAACATACTGTATATTGCTTTATGCTTTGTGTTTTGAGCCATTCCGAAGAAGGGCTCTCATTTTCATCAAGGAACAGTACAATTTTATGGCTTTTCCTTGGCATCCATTTAAGAGCCCGCCGTGTTCAAGTTAATGTTGTCTGTTTTGCCTGTCATGCCAGAGCAAATTATTTAAACTGCTCCTCTGACGGTCTGCAGTAATTGGCTTTAGTTAGCAGAGCATCCTCTCTAAGCTGTAGTATTGTATATATCTGAGATTTATGTTGTATTAGTCCTACAATGGTTATGTACTTATAATTCATTAGGAGTTATAAAGTGTAAGGAAATCACTTTCAGTGCGTCTAATTTTTTTAATTGACAGAATGACTAAATGCTCTGAAATTTCTCTCCGCAGTTGCCCTATATGCAATCAGTGCTGTTTATTTTGCTGGAGTGATGGTTCGTTTGATGTTGACATTGACTCCTGTGGTCTGCATGCTGTCTGCTATTGCTTTCTCTAATGTTTTCGAGCATTATCTGGGTGACGACATGAAAAGGGAGAACCCACCAATAGAAGATAGCAGCGATGAGGATGGGAAGAGCTCTGGCAATCTTTATGACAAGGTAAATTACGTCCCTTTGTGTTATGTAAACCTTTTTTTTGGCTTGATTCAAATTTTGTAGTCATTTATTTTCAGTTCATTGTCTTTCCTGTCAACATTCTGCACCGTAAGGTTACATTAACACCGCAGTGTACTTTGGGAAGAGTATATGTCAGTTGTAAGGTTTAGCTCAAAGCAATTTTTTATGTAAAATTCATTCAGGTAGTTATTTACATATTACATCATTACGTCTGTTTGGTCAACAGGATGAAATTTCATGTTCCAAAGGGGGAAAATCCTGCTGCTATAAAGCTACAACACAGCAAAGAGATTTCAGTGGTCAGGGACATGTAACACATAGCACAGTGTAGAAAGTATTTAAGTTTGATGTAGTATGTAAATTGCAGTTGTCCATGGTATATAATATGCAGCACCGCATGCAGAACATGGCAGTCTAGCCATAAAGAAAAAACATACAAAACTTAGTTGTCCACAGTAGAAAATGTATAGCACAATGTAGCAGTCTAGATTATGAACTGTGCAACATGCATTGGTCAGAAATATATAATGTATAGATTGCAGTAGTACAACACACTGTACAATGCAAACTCTAATTACGTAACCTACAGCACAGTATATGGAAGCCAGAGGTCCATAGAACATTGAGGGTCAGGGGAGAAGTTAGTTTACTTTGATGGTCAGTTTGAACAACAATGTCTACTTACATTAGTGGTCAGCTTGAAGAAGAATGTCACGTATATACAGCTAAAGAGGTTATTGGTGTAAGCGACTACTTATTTGAAAAATGACAACAGACTTTCCACTCGCCCCATGCTGAGTACTGTGCCAAGTAATATCTGCACCAAAACTATCTAGACCAAGTTTAGGCAAACTCGGCATTTCAGCTGTTATAGAACTACAACTCACATGAGGCATTGCAAGAGTAAGTCACAGTCATGACTCTCATTGGCAAGATTGGATTTGTAGTTTCACCACTTCTGCACATTTATAAAGTATATAGATGCTTTATAAATGAATGGGAGTCTTTAAAAAAAGGAAAGCCTGGTCACATGACTGGATCTCCTCCAGTCTCAAAGCTCTCAAGAACTCCGTGGGGCACTGAGGGCGCCACGTGGTGGCTTTGTTTTATGAATTAGCTGTATGCAATGTGGTGTGCAATGTGCATTAAGCCCCTGAAGTTTTCTGTGCACTGATGCTGACAACTGATCACCTAGCATCACATCCAAACTTTTAACAGAGCTAGGCGTAACGGTACAAGTTGCCTCAACAATGCATTTGATTGGTTAATGCGGTCCCTTATTTATGTTTAATTACATAAGGTGCTTCTTGAAGCACAATTGTTTTTACAAATAAAGCCTGGTGTCTGATAAAAGGGTCTCTCCTTATACAGAATAGCATGGTACCTGTACATAAAAAAACTATGATTTTATAAACTTCTGCTCTCTGTTATTCTCAATGTACAACTAAGCCAGCCAGCACTCACCACGTAGAAACACATCCAACAACCCCAATATTTCAATATATAGTGCAGCGCTATGTGACATCACGTTTCATACCGTATATTATATACAAAACCAAAGTGCTTGCACCTTCCAATACTTAAAAATACAAGTCCACCCAACGAGGTGAGGGCATAGTCACAGGGGTGGAGATCACAAGTGGTTTACAAGGAATATTCACGTGGAGTGTGGAATAGATTGAGCACTTTACTATTGGACATTTGAAGATTGTTTCGGTTTAACAAAGGGATTTTGATGAACTTATTGTATTGTTGTATGAAATTTGATGTATAGAATCTAAATGGTTACGATAGATGAAGAAGCACAGTAACATTTTTTAAATATAGGAGCACTTTGATATTGGTTTTAGGGATGACATAACGCTGCACTATATATTGTAATATTAGGATGGTCACTGTGCATATCACCTGTATATTGCATTGAACATTGCACTGAACATATTGTCTGCATGAATTCATTGTCCTATAGCTAGGATTCTTTTGTTCCATAGTCTTTCATTTTTGCTGCGTTTTTCAGCACAGGCCAAATGCATGTACATAAGGAAACCTATTTGAAATGGACCTATTCCCAACAATGTACTATAGTGCATTGGAAAAAGTTTCTTGATTTTTAGGTACTGGGTCACATGTTGTCATTTACATTGATTTAAATGGGGTCCTTTAAAAACAGCTTATTTGAAATATGTCAAGACTCATTAATCCATGCATTCTGGTGTGAATGAGTCTTAAGTAATGTCCTACATTTTAGTATAGCTTATCAGAAAAGGAAATGGTTTCATCCATCACTTTCTTATCATAGATAGAGCTGCATAGCTATCCTAGCTGTTTTTTACTTCACAAGTCACTTTTTATGTAAATATGGAACTGATGTTTCTGTAACATAAACGGATTGTATGCACATGGATGAAGCTATAGCCAACAAGGGTGCTATCACTTTTTAAAGTAAAAAACATTTTTTTTTTTCCAGTTTTGGATAGAGTAGAGATATGGGTTACACTCCATCAGGTTTTGTTTTTTTTATCCGTTTCCCTTTGCATCCCCCCCTGGAAAAACAACAAGTGAGAGAAAACGCCTTCAATTTCAAGGGAAACTCCCCCTTAAAGGAGAATTATGGGGTGAGTGAAAAACTCATCCCCATAATTCAAGCCGACCTGTGACACTGTTGACTTCCCAATCAATAGCGCTGACCTGTGACGGCTTCAAACACACGCCGCCATTTGCTGACTTCCTAATCGTCGCCCGGCGGAGAGTGGTGGCCGTCAGTCATGGCTCCCTGCAGGGATTCCCCCCTCCCCTCTACGTTTCTCTAGTGCTGACTGGAGAAAAGGACAGGGGAGGGTCGGGCAGATGCAGCTGTCAACGGGGTGGATCTCGACAGTATTGTTGAGATCTGTCCCTGATCTGTCCCTGCTGTGACACGCCTCTGCGCTCTCAGCATACATTGGGCAATAGCCCGCTATATACTGAGTTTTGAGTCACCGGAGTAAACCCTGAAGAGAACTACAGCCAACAAAGGTTGGCCCATAGTTCTCTTTTAACTGTCATCTGGACAGGTGTACACACTGCAAGATTTTACTCCAGTTCCTGCTTAGATAACTCTTAATAGTTTGGATTTTTCTATAATTTTCCGTCCTGATGACAATGGTCGCAGAAAACAAAAACAGGACAAGAGGTTTTAAAAATTAAAAAAAAAAAAACTTTGACCATTTTATCGTGTTGTGATATTACTCCCTGCCAACGCTTCTCTACATATTTTAATGAACATATGCAGCATTTGTTTTACAACAGAGCATCGCAATGCACATATGGTTTACATCTGTGCATTGCAGTGTAGTGAATTAAAAATGTGTTGTGCTGCATTGTCTAGGATTTTGGGGTGCCGTTCAAAGGGAAAAGCTATACATTAGGCTGTTTTGTGTATTACCTTGCATTGCTGCAATGCACAGATCTGAATGGGCTCATACAGTTTGTATCTAGAATGGCTACCTAACCTCAATACACTGTTGGGGGAAGTCTGTAGCTCTCTGTATGTAATAAAGAAGCATACTAGAAACAATGTGACAGAGGGAAGAGTGAAGAAGGCAAAAATGGTGTTCTTCTACAAGTTTGTTTATCAGTGCATCGGTTTACCAAAAGTATTTGGAGTCCAAAAATTATTTTTACATCAGATAGTAATGATGGGCCTTTGGAAATATGCAGTAACCGATTATTCTTTCCAAAGTCCTCTAACCCAGCAAGCAGCAAGTTGGAAGGTTTCTATGACATGGCTATAGTCCACCTGGCAGAAGATTAAATATGTAAAATCCATTTTGTAATTGGTTCAGATATCCATGGTATACAAGGGCTTAAAAAAAGGCCTTAAAGATAAATTAATTTGAGTTTGAGGGTTTTTTTTTTGTTTTTTGCATTTTTCCTGAAAATGTTTAGGCAGGTCCATCTAATGTAATATATTACCTACACAGTATATTGCTTTACACCCATGGAAATGGAAGGAAGGGCGGTGGAAAGCGTAGATTTTATTTGATGTTTAGGCAGTAAAATACCAACTTGGCAATCGTTTCTATGATCTATATTAGCTGATCTGGAAATTTCAGACTTTATCCTCTAGTAATGGACCCCAATGTTGTGCAGATTTTTTTTTCATCACTTTTGAATATTCCATATATAGTAGATATCTTCCTTTCCTCCCAAGCCTTACAACTATGCTTTACTGTAATTTATGAAGATCCTGCTAAACATTTTCATGAGATGCTTGAACTCTGGCTTCTATGCCACAAAAACTATTTTAATGAAGTGGAAACAGTCAGTGGCCCCCACCTTACTTGACTGGTCTCGTCTAATTAACTCATGCCTTCTGCTTTAAAGGTTAACATACTTCAGTAGAAACTGCTCTCTATTCTAATATAACCATTGATATTCTTAATCCAACAAGGGTCTATTATATATTTTTCACCCAAGACTCGCACACTTTTAGAAGTGGGAAATGTTTGAATCATGGGTGAAAGTTGTGGGAATTTTGGATGAAAACATAAATTGATTTCTTTTGCACATGTAACTAGGGCTGCAACTAACAGATAAGTTGGCTGATTTTTTTTTCCACAATTAATCTGATTTTAGAAAGAAAAAAACATATTTCATTTAAAATAAATTACACAATTGGGGTGTTACAAACCATAGTTTGCTTTACAATAAAACTGCATGCACATTTTTTTGCAATAGCACCGCACTGGAAAGCATGGAGCTGCAGTACGGCGCTTTCCTGTGGGGGCAATCGCACTGTGGATGGGAGGAGCCTTTGGAGTGCCATTGAAATGCTAGTCTAAATGGTAAAAGTTGAGAATTGAATGTGAGTTAAGCTGCTTATATCTCTCCATTTCCCATAAGTGTTTGCAATCGGTTTCAGTTTAGGTAGCTTGTTAATGAATTTTTCATTATATGATCAGTTTAAAGATGTCCATTTGCTTTACTCCCCACGTGGACTTTTAAGGCTAAATATAGACAGTATTAAAAGTACATCTATAGTACAATGGTTCTTCCATGCCGTCATCCTGCTGAGAAAATGATGCAAATAGTTTATATAATTCAGAGCCATTAAATATCTAGTCCTAAAGAAAATCAGCCATTTCCACATACCATTTAAAATATCAGAAGGATGCCTTTTTGCTCCAGGATTCTATTTGCCAGTGATTCATTGTTTTCTCCACATAAGTGCAGCTAGCTGTAATAGAGGTGAAGTAGCGAGCAGTGTTTAATCTCTGAATTGTGTAACCACCTCTACAAGAACTTAGGTAATGAAGTGCAGACAATCACAGTTCAGATGGGTTTTTTCCTACTTTTAATTGCTGCACAAAATGAAAGCACTTGGCTAGGCAGTGAATGCAGGGGATAACAGTTTGATTATACAATTATCGTTTTCAATGTCAGATTATTTTCCATGCTGGTTGCCACTCAGCAGGGTGAATGCTAGATTGCCTGCTGCTGTGTAAGTGTTACATTATGAGCAATAGTCTGCCAAGAAGCCACCTGGGAACAACTGGCTGCTCATGCTTTGTTTGGAAAGAGCAACACCACATCTGATGAGCTCGACTTAACATGTTTGATGCCGGGCTGACAGCGTGCATGCTGGGTGCCCTGGCTGCTATGTTCACAGTCAGGCATTGGCATTTTTGTGTTGCTATACAGAAGGGATGTCAACCATATACCTTCAGTTACATAAATGATGGTGTTGCAAATAGAGTGAACTTAGAAGAACTGTGGGCAAAACATTTATGAACGCTTCCAGTGGGGCTACCCCTGCACTGCAAGGGTTAACGGCTTGTTTTTGTCTAGTTGCAGAAAAAAAGTTATGATCACCTGATCCTCCAAGCTGGCTTGTTCCTAGACTGGTCCTTCCAGCTTCTCTCCCCCTCTGATGATTTACGGGATCTTAGACCGTAAATCATCACCTTCTATACAGAGTCTATAGACTCGAAGATGCCGGGAAACATTCAAATGCTGCAGTGTAGGAGGGGAGAGGCTTCAGAGACCGGCGAAGCAGGGAGCCGGCTCAGTGGTTTGGGTGAGTATAACTTTTTTTTGTTTGTTTCTCACCTAGACAAAAACAAACGGTTAACCCTTGCAATGCTAGGGTAGCTCCACTGCAAGAGTTGTTAAACAATGCCCTCCATCCAAACTGTATGCAATGTATTGCAAGCCTTAGGCCTCATTCACACACAACGCAAGCAAAATTGTATATTGCGTATATACGCGTCTATGCGTGCATTATATGCAATCCCAGAATGCATCACTCGTAATGGAATTTTTAATGTGCTGTACACGTGTGCGCGTAAATAGGCAGAAATACGCTGCCTGGACGCATCTCTGTTCCATTCTGTTTTTGCGTATATATACGCTACACAAATATACGGCTCCATACGCGGCTGTGTGTATGGAGCCATTTGTTTGCATATGGTACAATACGCGCGGCAGTGTGAATGAGGCCTTACTATGTCCTTTTTTTTTTTGATGAATTGCCTTCATTGTGCCTGCCTGCACCTGAACAATCTGTGTAAGTGAGTGCTGCGAGAAGGAAATGAACAGTGTCCACATCCCTTCAGTCTGAAGAACATTTTTAGAGACTCTTGCTACCAATAAAGTGCCTGTTGCAGGGGATTCTTGTAATTTGTCTTTAAGCTCCTTGCAGATTTTTGTGGAAAGCTTTGAGCCTGTTGATTTACTGATTCAGTGATTGATTGTACTTGTTGTTTGGAGTTGCTGGCTAATTAGAACTCCGTTAAATATACAAGTGAAGTGCATATATGTGATCCATGGGAGTCGGTCTTTCTAATTTCTCTGTTGCCAGTATTCAGATTCCACACTTCTTTCCAGCTGCACAAATCCAATTATGCGTGGATGATCCTGCTGTTTAGTTTCTGTGTCCTTTGCCACCCCAAGCCAGCTTACAGGACTGTGAAATGGTATCACTGCACAAGGTCTTCCCCCTCAATTTCCCAAATACATCCTATCCAATTCCTAGTGCCTGAGACATTTTTGGATGACGGCACACTGCAGTGAAACAAAGCCTATCATAGCCTCCCATGTGTGAGCTGCCAAATTCCCCTTTCAGTGTGCTGTAATGAAACATTGCTTGTCTCCTCTGTGCCACTGTTTTTTTTAGCAGACCTGGTATAAATGACGTAGAGGAGATGCTATAACTAGCTACTACGGGGGGGTGTAGGGTCACATACACCAGTAGAGGTTTAACAGGCCCTAGTGTGTGGAGTGAACTGCTTTTTTGTCTGAAGTTATACATTTGCAGATGGTGTAAACTGTTTAGGTCTGAACTGGTTCTTTTCTCTCCCCCCGACCTCTATCTCTCTCTCCCCCCAACACCCCTCTCCCCTTTTTTTTTTGCCTACCTCTGAACTGTAATGATAATTTTTGGTTCTGGTGCAAGCTGTACTTATTTAAAAATATATTTTTAAATTTACAATGTTCACTTTATTTGGTGTAAACGTGCAACCAAAGATTAGTGTCAGATACCTAATACTTTGAAATACCTTTATGGTATTAATGGGACATATTGATGCTGCAGTTTGTGTTGTTAATTATCTTCCATATTGTCTGCTGCATGGTTGA